GTCGTGCAGCAGCTGCTGCAGCACGCCGCAGTACTCGTGCCCGCGCCCGCTCTCGCTCGCCTTCAGCACTGACGTGTATCTGGACAGTCACATCAACAACCTGCCCTCACCACACATCCTGACACAAATTGAAGTGTCTGTTTGTAATATCAGAAGAAAAATTCTAAATTTCGGGAAGATGATGTATTTGCGTTACTGATAACGAAAACAGACAGACGGACAAAAAATTGTCTGTCTGTCTGTTTACCCACAAGCCGCGTTTATTCTGGGTATTCTCCGAAACGGCTAGATTGATTTCGACCGAACTTTTACCGGAGGGGAGATAACATAGACGGGTATGTTTTAGGCTACTTTTTTTTAAATTCCGCGCTGTCAAAATGGCGACCGGACCGCTATCTCTGGAATGGGTGGACCGATTTGGACGGCAATTTGACTGAAAGATAGCTGGTAGAAAGTAAATGCACTCGAGAATGTGATAGCTGACTTTTTTCTTTAAATCCCCGCTAACGAAGTTTGTGGGCAACAGCTCTTTTAATAATATAGACAATACATAGTAAAGTAATTTTTTCAATTGGATATTTTTCTATACTGTTTAGTCTCGCTTTGATTCCATTGGGCTTATATGGAAGTGCGCACACTACTCGATTTCTAGTTGTGGAACTAAACGGTTGAGTTGGCTGCGAAACAATCGACAATCGCACAACTGTTGTGCGATAGTTTAGTCTAAAGTATGCGACCAATATAACTTTTTTAATTTTACTCTTCTTTAGCATATCCTTTTTCACACAATCCATCCATATTTTCTTCACTCTACCTCTATCTTCGGCACTATCCACATTCAGCCAGATTAGAAATTTCAAATTTAGTCAGAAACTTACTTATTCAAAATTTTCCGCATCTGTGAGATATCTTTCAATTTTTTCATAATTTTGTTCGCCATGTCCGCACAGCCTTCCGGGGTTGCCATACCCGGGTCGAGGTTAGTTAACAGCGTCTTATGGTCCTCAAATATGGCAACACTTAGCATCTCAGCGAGCGTGTCTTCGTGTTGCTTGTTGAAGGACACCTCGGTCCCCGTCAGAGAGTATACATGAGTGATAAGTGCTAACAGATTCTCTAAAGGTAGATTTCTTTCTTTCCTTGTTTTGATTAGTTGACTTATCTGAAAATAAAAAGAATTTACGACTAAATGACGGCCAATTGTTATTATAAACTAGCTGTTCCCGTGCGGCATTTATATTCTACTAGCTTTCGCCCGCGACTCTGTCCGCGTGGAATTAAAAAAAAACTAAAGTGAATAGTCTATATGTTCTTCCAGACTGTACCTCTACATCTATACCAAATTTCATCGAAATCCGTTCAGCCGTTTAGGCTACAAACTAACAAACATCCATCCACCTAAACTTTCGCATTTATAATATTTATATGATATATGATTTAAATGCAAATGTCAAAATTCTAAATCTTAAATGACAATGAAGGCTTTTGCTATTGACTAACAATAAGTGTTACCATGGCAACTTTGCTGCTATTGGCTTGTAGTTTTTGTCTCTTGCCTAAAAGGTTTTTTAAATTTATTTGCTCCCTAAATTAGCATGAAAATATACAGCCTATAGTGTGTCAAAAGTTTAGGGTGTTTTATTAAAAGTATAATTATTCAAAAACATGACTGCTGCCTGTACAATAAAGTGTGTTTTTATGCTTATATTAGATTTTTATACCTGATGCAGAACACTGGTGGAATCCCTGCTAGTGGCCAGGCTCTGATGAACTTGTCGCTCCAGACCCATCACCAGCTCCAACTGGTTCCTCTTTGGTGATTTCAAAGTTTGCACCACACCCAGCGCTTGCTGGAGAACTCCTATATGTTTGCCGATAATATCATAGTTTCCTGCAATTATAACAACAAGTATTAAGTATTAAATAACTTGTTAAACTTTCGTGAGACATTATACTACATAAATTATAACACGGCTAAACTCACGTGATAACATTCGGTGTAGGCACCGACAGTTTCGAACCCGTTGGGGGTCCTTCTTCAGGGTGAGTGATTAATCGGGTATACTCGCTATAGCGTCGCGACGGTCACTGGCCTACACCGAATGTTATCACGTGACTTTAGCCGTGTTATAATTTATGAAGTATTAAATAAATAAGATACTAATCTATAGTATTAAATAAGAGATTCATACAGTATTCCTCTTTAATTCTATTTTTCTGTAAAATAAATCATGAATTTTGACACAACATTGCAACTGAATTGCTGTAATACTGTGATTGAATCTATTTTCATCAAAAATTTGGTTCATTTCATCAAAAAGTGCACACTTTTGAATAAAGCATTGCACAACTTTTGTGCGTTTGTCGATTGTTTCGCAGCAACTGTTTAGTCGCACAACAACCAATCAAGTGTGCGAACCTCCATATAAACTCATGGGAATGAAAGCGAGACTGTGAGTTATGCGATAGTTTAATTAAAATTCTCATTCATATTAATTTGTCTATTTTCAAGAGTAGAAAAAGTTATCTTTACCTTTAGAAGCCATAACAATCTTCTCAACACTCAATGGCGTGACTTTCAACAATGTTTTAGATCCCGGTGATTTCTGTACATCTATCTTACAGAGTTTATTATACAAGTCAAACATGACTTCCTTCTGTGACTTGTTGATCATGTAGTCAAATGTTTGGGAGCATGCATCATCTTCTGCATGGTACAGACATCCCGGACTCAATTGGATGTCATCCAGATGTGATGTTCTGGAAGGACAAAATTATGTAAATTCTATGATTATAGCCTGACTATTGTCCAGAAACATAAAAACAATTGATGTAAAAATTAAGACTAGTTCACGCAAAGGGTTGCATATTACCTATAATAAAAATGATGACTAAAGCACCATAAAACCATGAATTTTATTTTCTGGGTCAGACTGTACTGGTTGGTTGGTAAATTAATAAATAGTATCTTAACCAATATTCTAATTTTGTTGATAACTAGTAAATTTATAATACAGGTATTTCAATGGTATACAAATAAATGTTTAAACATAAAACAACTTATATACATTACTTGTTAGTGTAATGAGCATTTTTGCTTGTTTTTATTCTTTTAAGGAGTGAATTTAGGATACAAACCACAAAAACAACTTTTTTTTATTTGGGCAAAAAATTGTGACTATACAATGTCACTTTAATATTTAAACTTACACATTTGCTTCACATAGAGGCGACATGTCAACTGCAACATCATTAGAATGTCCGGGGAACCGGGGCAGCACATACATCACCTTGTCTAACACACACTCCATGGAGTGGCTAGTCACACCGCACAAGTCTAGCGTACGGTCTATTATTAGAAGAGATACAGGGTTGGTGCAGTTCTGAAAACATTTAATTTAATTTAATAATTTATGTTGGTATGGTGTACAAAAAAATATTATCCAATTTATCTAAATAGTAATAAGCTATTTAAATAAGTTAAAAATCGTACTAATGCGAAAGTTTAAATAGATGGATGGATGTTGGAGTTTGTTGCCTAAATGGCTGAACGGATATCGATTAAAATTTGGTATAGATGTAGGAGGATAGTCTGGAAATACACATAGGCTACTGACTTTTGTTTTTTTAATTCCATGCGGACGAAGTCGCGGGCGAAAGATAGTATGAATATAAAATCAATATAAAGTTAATTTGTGAATGCTACTATAAATAAATTGTACAATCAAAAGTCAAGTATTTCCAATTTTCTTTTATGTAGCTTGCTTTACTAAGTAAATTATGTAATAATTGTTTTCTACACTAGACTTCAAAGATAAGTCTTTATATGACACATTGTACAACATCATATACAATTAAAAATATAAAAATAAAACTTGCCATATCAACATTGTTATACACACCTTCCTCCTAGTAAGACAGACTGGTGAATTTTCCAATACTCCTGCCACCAAGGAACTATACATACCCATATAAAACACATCTTCCTTCAGATTCATTGATTCAAACATACTATTCAAGCCACTAGCAAGTCTCCTCACTTGAGACCTCTCTTCATTACTGAGTGTATATAAGTCTATGGAATTTGATTCTGGTATCAAATTACCATTAAATGATGGATATATCTTCTGATATGGTGGTGTGAGGAACACAGAATTAGTGGGGCAGATAGTAAATATTGGTACATGTAATACCTCTGTTGAACATTGCTGAAAATATTACTCAGTATAAAAACCTACACAAAGAGCAATAATAGCATCTTTACTCCAGGATAAGTTGAATTTAATTCAAATAACAATGATTAGATATCAATTGATTAAAAACTCTGTGTACCTTTTTCCCCATCCATTCCATAAGCATTCTCTCAAGCTGCTTTGTGGCTGCAGTGAAAGCTTTACCAGCTGAGACAATATCTGTGACATCTTTTCCCTCATTCAGCTCCAAGTACACAACATCTAGGCTCATACATGATATCAGAATACAGTGCACAAAGTCACTGTTACGTATAATTTCACGTATTGTTTGCAACTGTGTTGAAGTTGATTGAGTTATAAAAACAGCCTTTTTATGTTCTTTTTTAGCACACTGGAATTATAGGAATTAGAAAATAGGTGAACGTTAAAAATTCTCTAGGCTATATGTACATAAAATCAAATAGAACATGTTTTAAACCGAATAAAAGTATGTACCTCAAATGGTGACAAACTTTTCACAGCAACAGCTCCACCCGTAAGAAGGTTGAACAGTCCTCCATCCCAATGCAAGCATTCTGCGCTATAATCATCTAAGAATACAACAGCACCAATAATTCTGTTGTAAACTTCGTTCCAGCAAGCCCTCGCAAATTCTTTTGGGGTACCAGACATCATTTTGAAAATGTTGTTTATGTTGATTACATATTTCAATGTAGTTTCATTTTTTATGTTGTTAATTTATCGATAAAATTGATAGCTACTTTTAGTTTAAGCTATTAAAAAATCATAATTTAAACTATTTTGGATTATTCCACTATACTATTTTGGATTATTATACTATATTGATTATCAGGGTGCACAATCTCAGTACATTTAACTTGGAAATCCGAAGATAAAATACTGCAATATAACGGAGCACCTTAAATCTATTTTGATA